CGGAGCTGCCCCTCGACACAGGGGACGCATGAATGATTAGGCCCCGGAGGAAGGGGAGGGAGGGACCGGGGAAGACCAGAGACAAGGACACAGGAAGCCATGCCTCGAAGACGAGGCAGGGAGGGGTGACCAAGACGGTGGTGCCACAGGAGAGTCTCGTGAGACAGGAGGCGACACGAGTAGGGGGCAGACTCAGGACCAGACCTGGACGCTGCAGCAAACACCTGACCCGACGCAGCTACCTGGCCAGACGCAGGGACAGGAGGAGACTCAGCGGTCAGGGTGTAGAGGCTCGACCCCGGCCGACGCGTAAACGTGGCCAGGTGCCTGCCTGTGCGAGCGTCCGAGCAGTGGGTCACCCGCTGACTCGCAGGAGTAAACTGGTGAACCCCCGCATCCTGCAGGTCAGCACCACTCACCAAGTTCGTAGAGAACGAGGGGAGGTAAAGACCAGACAAGGTGCCAGAGGGGGCAGCCGGACACGGGAGGACAGTAGAGAAGTGAGAGAGGACAGGGCCCCCAGAGGGGTCTGCCAGGGAGACTGCAACCGGCCGACCAAGCGGCGTGAGTGTGGTGCAGTCTCGAAAGAAGGAGCGAGAAGCCCCTGAGTCAAGTGTGAAGGTGAGGGAGGCCGAAGCCGACTCGGAGACTGAGAGCGCAGACTCACCAGCACCTGAGGACGCAGACGCACTGGCACCTGGAGCAACAGCCTCACCAGCACCTAGAGCAGTAGTCGCAATGCCCGAGTCGGGCGGGAAACACCGGTAACAGTCACCCTCATCACTAATAGTCACAGCATACATGGTAGCAAGGATAGCATCAAAGTCAAGATCATAGATAGCTACACCTTCCCTAGACAGCTCTCCCGAGTGGGGGATCTCTGTAGCCTCCGGGAACTGCTGACGCCAAGCGTCCGTCACGCGGCCAAAGCAGCGCTGGGTGGGGTGGGCACCCCCACACTGCTCACCTGCGTGGTCGCCGATGCGAAGGACGTAGGTGCACGGACCAAAACCCCCACCACGCTGACGCTGCGCGTACCACTCACGAAGCAGCTGAGGGGGGGGGATGTCCCGAGAACGCTGCTGCTGCTGCTGCTGGCGGTGACCACCTCCGGAGTTGCTCCGCTGGGAAGCGCCACCCCGACCAGCTCCACCTCCTCCACCACCGCCTCCTCCACCTCCACCACCTCCGCCGCCTCCGCTCCCACCGCTCCCGCCTCCGCCTCCACTGCTGCCACCGACACCTCCACCCCCGCCACCACTCCCACCGCCACCCCCACTCCCTCCGCCACCTCCACCGCCACCTCCACCACCCCCGCTAGCTCCACCCGCGCCCTTGCCCCCCTTGCCCTTGCCAGAGCGGCGTCTCCCGCTAGGGGCAGACGCCGCACCGACCGACTCAAGACCAACGAGGTCGGCCGCAGCAGCAGAGGCAACAGAGGGCAACAGGGGGGAAGGGGAACACCCCTCAAAGATGGGGGTGCGAGGGTCACCACGAGAGGCTCCTACAGCGACTATGCTCTTCTCCGCTGCTATGAGGGCCTTCTCTAGTAGGTCAACAGTGAGAGTGGTGGGACAGACTGAGAGGAAGTGGTCCCTGACTACACGAAGGGAGTCAGGGAGGCGGGTGACTATGTAATAGAGAGTGATGTACATGGGGGGGGGGGGTTCTTGGCGCAGAAATCAACAGGAAGCGCAGCGCGGTACCGAGTGTCACTAGTGCGGAGGTGCGTAATGAGGTCAGCGACTGTGGGAAAGGCAGCAAGGTCAGGGAAGAGGTACGGTAGCATGAGGCGGCTCAGTGCAGCAGTGGCGGGGGAAGAGTAACGCGCAACTACAGCGTCGTACAAGGTCTGAGCACTCTTGTACTGACTAAAGTGCGCGCGCTCAGTGGTAGGTAGGTGGTGACGCACAGCAAGACGTGCAGCAGCATCGCGAGTGGCCCAGTGGGAGCGAACAGTGGCGTCAGCGTCAGCAGCAGGGGCAGGGGAGGCGCCAGAGATGAGGTCAAAGAGGGAGAGACCGTCTCCCCTATCGCACTATAGGAAAAACTGCAGGTCATCTACCCAGACCTCAAAGTCAAAGGCCCGACCCTCAGCGTCAAAAGCGAGAACACTGGGGTAGCCATGACAGCAGTAGACTAGCAGCACTAACTCTAGGACAGTGGCAGTGTAGTGACAGAAGCGCTGCTCTCACCAGACAGGGCGGTTCGGTCAGCGCAGCAGCACAGCACCTCGGCAACATGGCGGCTCGGGCGACTCGGACTGCTCAGCAGCAACTGCGGCTCTGCGGCACCAGCGGCTCGGCTCCTCAGCGGCTCAGGCGGCTCGGGCGATTCGAGCGGCTTGGGCGGCTCGGGAGGCTCGAGCGGCTCGGGCGGCTCGGGCGGCTCGGGCGGAACGGGCGGCTCGGGCTGCTTAGCGGTGCGGGCGGCTCGGTGGCGTAGGGCGGCAGGGCCGCTGGTAGGGCGGCGGGGCCACAAGGTAGGTGGCGGGGCCGCAACGAGAGGGGCGGCGGGACCGCAGCGAGGGGCGGGGGGGGCGCAGCGAGAGGGGCGGCGGGGCCGTAGCGAGAGGGGTGGCGGGGCCGCAGTGAAGGGCGGCGGGGCCGCAAGGTAGGCGGCGGGGCTGCAGCGAGAGAGGCGGCGGGGCCGCAGCAAAGGGCGGCGGGGCCGCAGAGAAGGGTGGCGGGGCCGCAGCGAAGGGCGGTGGGGCCGCAGCGAAGGGCGGCGGGGCCGCAGCGAAGGGCGGCGGGGCCGCAGCGAAGGGTGGCGGGGCCGCAGCGAAGGGCGGCGGGGCCACAGCCAAGGGCAGCGGGGCCGCAGCAAAAGGCGGCGGGGCCGCAGTGAAGGGTGGCGGGGCCGCAGCGAAGGGCGGCGGGGCCGCAGCGAAAGGCGGCGTGGCCGCAGCGAAGGGTGGTGGGGCCGCAGCGAAGGGCGGCGGGGCCACAGCGAAGGGCGGCGGGGCCGCAGCGAAAGGCGGCGGGGCCGTAGCGAAGGGTGGCGGGGCCGCAGTGAAGGGCGGCGGGGCCGCAGCGAAGGGCGGCGGGGCCGCAGCGAAGGGCGGCGGGGCCGGGACAGGGCGGCGCCGGGGCCGTAGGGCTAGGTGACGGGGCCGTAGGGCTAGGCGACGGGGCCGTTAGGGCTAGGCGACGGGGCCGCTAGGGCGATTCGACGAGATGAGAGAGAGGAGCGCGACTCGGGCTGAGCGCGCTCCGGGCAGGAAAAAAAAATATTCGACTTGGTGGGCCCTAGGCACAGTTCCCACTAGGGAACCTGCTCGATACCATGAGAAAACTGAAACGAGAATGAAATGACTAAGTGAAAGTTGGGTACAAATGCAACCCTAGAAAGCTGTACCCCATATGTGCTACCCCACTATAGCCTACAACAGCTATGTCATACAAGTCTGACACTTGTCTGGTCCTATTACCAATCCAGCAAGGGCGTGGGAGGGTCGCAAGCATCATCGGTCATCGACGCTCGCGAATGAAGAGCGCTCGCTGCACTTCCTGCACATGTGCGGCTCCTTCCGCGTTTCGGTGGTGGAAGCGCTTATTTCGAGCGTTTTTCTTCCGCCGAGTCACGTGGCTGCGCTTGTCTGGTCCTATTACCAAGCCAGCAAGGGCATGGGAGGGTTGCAAGCATCATCGGTCATCGACGCTTGCGAATGAAGAGCGCCCGCTGCACTTCCTGCACTTGTGCGGGTCCTTCCGCGTTTTGGTGGTGGAAGCGCTCGTTCCGAGCGTATTTCTTCCGCCGAGTCATGTGGCCGCGCTTGTTTGGTCCTTTTACCAAGCCACCACAGGCGTGGGATGGTTGCAAGCATCATTGGTCATTGGCGCTCGCGAATGAAGAGCGCCCACTGCATTTCCTGCACATGTGCGGCTCCTTCCGCGTTTTGGGGGTGGAAGCGCTCGTTACGAGCGTTTTTCTTCCGCCGAGTCACGTGGCTGCGCTTATCTGGTCCTATTACGAAGCCAGCAAGGGCGTGGGAGGGTCACAAGCATCATCGGTCATCGAAGCTCGCGAATGAAGAGCGCCCGCTGCACTTCCTGCACATGTGCGGGTCCCCGCGTTTTGGTGGTGGAAGCGCTCGTTCCGAGCGTTTTTCTTCCGTCGGGTCACGTGGCTGCGCTTGTCTGGTCCTATTAGCAAGCCAGCATGGGCGTGGGAGGGTTTCAAGCATCATCGATCATTTGCGCTCGCAAATGAAGAGCAACCGCTGCACTTCCTGCGGCTCTTTCCGTGTTTTGCGGGTGGAAGCGCGCGTTCTGAGCGTTTTTCTTCCGACTGGTCACGTGGCTGTGCGTCTCTGGTCCTATTGCGCTTCTCTAACATTATCAATGGCCGAAACCCCAAAACCCTCAAAAATATTTTCAATTGCATTTCAGCCGTCGGATTCAGCTGATGTGAAGATCTACGGCATCCTCTCTAGTGTGGGGTCTGTTTTTAGTACAGGGCTGCCTTATTTAGAAGATGGGAGAGTGTAAAGAATTACATTTCCTTACTGTACTCGCACTTTATCGAGTACATCCCGAGGGTCACGCGGCGAACCTGTTCGGCCTATTTCGTCGGCCTAAGCACTCCCGAGTCGGCCCCCCCTTTAATCGCAACCATCACCTAGCCATCTTCTCCCTACCTTTCCGCCTAGCTAGGATTTCCCCTATTTAGTTGTGCCATTCTCATTGTATCGTCATTCAGTAGTCAACCATTCTCGTTATTCGTTTTACTGCGCACTCTGCAAGTTCATTCATAACACTAGTGAGCATATGCACGGTATTGCCGCCAACATCTGAGTCTCGTGTCACGTAGTCCGAAGCATAGAACTCTCATTTTCAACAGCAGAAGCCTGAGCATAACGGGTTAGTGCAAGGAGACTTACACCATTCGGCGCTAACTCGAAATCCGTGTCGCTTGCGTAACGAGGTAGTGCAAGTACTGCGCGAAAGCTCCCCGTCATATCGCGTGAATCCCGTTTCGTAAACGATCGCGAGAGAGCGATGCACGACGACGCTGACGTAGGCGGCTCCGCAGATGGGCAGCCCGACGCAAAGGCCGGCACATTATCCCCGTTTGTAGGCCAGATCATGGTGCGTTTACCGGGTTAGTGTTTGCTCTCATTAATCTCATTCAGGACTCTTCTGTGCCACCATTTCGTCGTGGTAACATTTCGCATTTCGTCATGTGTCTCTAAATTAGGGTTACTGCCGTATCCTGTGTCCTGTGCTCGCCCGCAGGTGCCTGGAGACGTAGCGGTGGATCTGAAGCAGGTCACGTCGTCCGTGCTTAGAATCGGACCCGGCCTCCGACAGGTGCGCGCTGGAATCTCTGTTGCATAGAGCGCTTTGAGTTGACTAAAAAAGGTCCGTGTGAGGTGAGCCGATTTTTTAGTCGACTCAAGAATCGGTCCAGGCCTCCGACAGGTGCGCGCTGGACTCATTGTTGCATGAAGCGCTTCGAAGCAACAATGGTCACTCAAGTCTCACGCAGGTCCCTCTTCCCCGCTGCTTGTTGCTCTTCACTTCGCAGTACTTGAGCACATCTCGCGCTCCCCAGCCACATGCTACCAACCAACCCACCCTCCCACCCCTACATGCTACCCGTTTTCTTGCTCTTGCCCGGCAAGCTGGAGGGTGACATGGTGGTGGGCATGCGAGCGGGGCGACTGAAGCTTGCGTCTTCCCCTGTGCCACCCGCCTACCCACTCATCTACCCGAACCCACCCACGCACCCACCCTCCCATCTCCGTATCCTTGCCCGGTGAAGCAGGAGGGTGACATGGTGGTTGCCATGAGAGCGGGGCGACTGAAGCCCGCAGGGAAGAGGAAGCTGTGGGTGGACTGCAGTGTGAAGCGCGTGAGTGGGATGGCGTGTGCGTGTGAAGGTGTGTTAAGGTTTGTGAGGAAAGGGCCTGAGTAGTGGGGAAGAGGAAGCTATGGGTGGACTGCAGTGTCAAGCGCGTGAGTGGCATGTGCGCGTGATAGTGTGTGGAGGTGATTGAACCTTTGTGAAGGTGTGTGAGAAAAGGGCTTAAGCAGCAGGGAAGAGAAAGCTGTGGGTGGACTGCAGTGTGAAGCGCGTGAGTCGGTGTGGGAGGGTTGTTGGGGTCCAGTGGGTGAGTCGGTGAGTGGCATGTTTGAGGAATCCAGTGAGTGAGTGGCATGTGGGTGTGATTGGGGCTGCAGGCAGCGGGGAAGAGGAAGCTGTGGGGGGGATGCAGTGTGAAGCGCGTGAGTGGGACATGCATGGGAATGTGTGCGGTGTAGCAGATAAAAACATCAGAATCGCATGCATGCCGTTTTTATCTGCCTCCTTGTCTGCACTGCATGTCAGCATCACCTCTTTCCCTCTCCCCCCCTTCCCGCCTTCCTTTCCCCAACCTTCTTTCCCCTCGCAAGCCACAAATGCAATAAATGGCCCAACGTGCCTCTGCGCTTCCCTATGCAATGTCACACTACCCATTGTCCCTTCTCACCATCAGTACACGCCTGCAGTGGAGGAGGCAGTTATTGGCATTGTGATTGATAAACACATGGAGGTATGCTCTCCTGGCTGTCGCCCTCAATCTTCTTATCTGGAATGGTCACTTTATCTCAGTGTCACACCCCTCAATATCACTTGTCGATACCACACCGCACCATCAGTACACGCCTGCAGTGGAGGAGGCAGTTGTTGGCATTGTGATTGATCAACACACGAAGGTACATTTGGTTTGTCAAATGAGTAATGCCCTGCCCACCCCCATGCCCTCTGCCCACCACCAGAACCTAGACGTGGACATCAAGGGCCCAGGCCTCGCCATCCTGTCAGTAGATGTGCTTGTCTGTCAATGCGTATTGCACATGCCCCATGCATTCTACCCCACACCCCCCCCCCCCGCCTTCCACCAGAACCTGGACGTGGATATCAAGGGTCCCGGCCTCGCTATCCTGTCAGAACATGTTCCCTCGTCAGACGCAAAATGCATTCCCCCCCTCACCCCTGCCATTCCCCATGAATTCTATCCCACCCTCCTTCCCGCCTTCCCCCAGAACCTAGACGTGGACATCAAGGGCCCGGGCCTCGCCATCCTCCCAGCACTCGCGTTTGAAGGCGCCACCCGACGAAACCGACCCAACCTGCAGGTACGGTTTGACCACCACCAGGTTCGGTCCGAACAGACCTGATGATACAGTACAGATCCGGGGTTCAGGGTATTGGGGTGCTGGGAGATGGTTATCTGTTCATTGGTGTTCTTGTGAGCTGTGGTCATCCTTTTGTTGTTCTTGAGATGCTGGGATAATGCTGGAACATTGTTGCGTGTGCATGTATGTGTGCATGTCTTCACCGATGTGTGCTTGTATTGACATGTGCGTGCATGTGTATGAACATGTGCATGCCATGCATGCAGATCGGGCAGGCAGTGTACACCCGAGTGGTCAAGACCCATCGAGATTCCGACCCTGAGCTCTCGTGTGTGGACGGTGAGTGGTGGTGAGGAGCGGTGGTGAGTGGCTGTGAGGGGGACCCTGTGTGTTCATTTGTGGTGAGTGGCGGATGGTGTGAGGTGGGAGGTCCTCACGTGGCCTGCCTTCTTTGCAAATTTATCCATGTCATCCCACTCATCCTCTACCTCTTGCCCTTTGTCTCTCTCCCTACCGCCCATCCATCTCGCAGCGAGTGGCAAGGCAGCAGAGTTTGGGCCACTGGTGGGTGGTCACCTCTTTGACTGCTCCACTGCCCTTGCTCGCCTGTGAGCCTTTCCTGCCATCCATGCATCCATGCGTATGCGTCCATGCATCCATGCATCCATGCCATCCATGCCAACCATGTCATCCATGCGTTCAAGCATCCATGCAACCATGTGTCCATGCGTCCATGCACTCATGCTCTCCGAACCAAGCACACATCTCTCCATGCATCATATTCCAGTTGTCCCCAATTTGTTCCCATTTGTGTTTGTGGGTTATTCTGTTCCCAGCCTCTTGGCAACACCAACAGCCCCTGTATTGAAGGCACTTGATGCTGCTGGCTTGGCCTTTGAAATTGCTGTGGGCCTCAATGGAAGAGTATGGGTGAGTTGCGTGACCTTTGGCACTCTCATTGTCGTTGCAGTTGGGGCTGAGTATGAATGACAACGGCTTGTTTTGATTGTTTCGGTTGTGCTGTGCTGGTGTGCTTTCAGGTGAAGGGGGACACAATAAAGAACACAATTCTTGTTGCCAATGCAGCTCAAAATTCCGAGTTCCTTTCTGCTGTGCAGCAGCGAGCGATGGTGAAGGAATTAGTCAGGCTGTCACTATGACCATAACAATGCTTCTACTTTTAGGGCGCGTGTGGTCTGTTTAGAAGTTCAAAATAAAGTTCGAACTTTAGGTGGTTACCCTATTCGCTAATTTCATGAAGGGTGCTTCGCGAACCAAGCATTGTATGGGCTCTGCAAAAGTTCGAGTTTGAAATATGAACTTGACTCGAGTCGGAGGCGGGAACGTGCGTGCGCACGTTCATGCGAGCGTGTGTGATTTGCAGCACGTCCGAACAGCTGGCGAAACGGGCGAGCGCTTGGCCAGTGCATGAAGTTGCACAACGAAGACACCCCACAATTCGTGCACACAGTGGTAGCCACGTGTCCAGCATCGTGGCACATTCGAGCATGATGTGGCAACGCGTCCCCCTGCCATACGATGCCGAGAAAGCGGACCAGCTGTAGGGTTGTCATGTTGGGCGAATGACGAGTATACAAGGTGTTGCCACGGGGGCTATTTGTACCCTGGTTACACACTCGGCGCGGAAGGTGAGTTGGAGCTCTAGGTCCTTGTAAACCGAGGCGCAAAATGTTGACGTGGCGCACTGTCAAGACGAGCGAACCGGGTAACCTATGATGTTGACGTGCGGCTCGGCTCGTTTTTACAAGTTCGAATGTCGGGGTTCGACCTTGTATGTGTGTGTGATTTTTTACAGTGTGGTAAGCCCGATGTGCGAACTTCGATAGAAGGAAATTCGAACTTCTTTCGTTGTAAGTTCAAAACTTAAATTCGCCCTAAAAACATAAACTTTTACAAATTTCAAAGATCACACACGCCCTTATGCTGTGGTGTAAAATATATCTGGTGTGTTATGAGTGCAATTGAGTGAACGAACGAGAATTGCACTATCGAAGCAAGAGTACAATGAGCAAAGGCATGAGCGAAGAATATATAGCGAAACTACAGTGGTAACGGTAATGGTCGCGCGACGAGCCTGGGACTGAGGTTGGGAAAGTGTCGAAGCGTAGGCCCGGAGCGCGGGTTACCAGCCGAGCCGTGAGGTCGGGATGCGATGTGCGAAATTGGCGGGATGATGAATGATGCGATGGTCGCGAGTGGTAACGGTGCTGACTGAGGTGCTACAGTGATGTACGCGTTGAGCAGGGATGCGAAGTAAGGAAAAGGGAATTTCCTTACACTACCCCCCCTCCTAAGGAGGTCCTCCTTACGAGAGTGCGTGGACGTCTTTGAAGTTTCGGCTGCGCAGATATTCGGTGAGGACAGGGTGGTTTTCAATTCTGTCCAGGGGAACCCAGTTGTCCTCAGTGGGTGTACGGTCTTTCCAGCGGAGCAGGAACTCGACTTTTCGAGCTCCTCGAGGGTCGCGAACTCTGTGGCTCAAGATTTTGTCGGGGGTGATGATGGGTTCGGTTGGCGGCCGTGCCATGCTGGATGGTCGATGTCGTGGGAGTTGGCTGGTGGATGGTACGTAAGGGCGAAGCAGGCTGACGTGGAACGAGGGGCTGACGTACCAGTCAGCAGGGAGGAGGAGGTGCGCGGTGACGGGTGTGATCATGTGGCTAATTCGAAACGGCCCACAGTATCGAGGGCGGAGTTTGGGAGTGATGGGCAGGCGGAGGTTTTGAGTGTCGAGTAAAACGAGGTCGTCGGGCTGATAAGTGACGGGTCTGCGGTGGCGATCGGCGTTGCGTTTAGCGATGATATTTGATTTTTTAATTGCTTCTGCCGCCCTGGTCCGTGTTGCTTGCAAAATCTCGGCGAACTGTTGTGCGCGTGGAACGGGATTGTTGGGGTTTGGGGTCATGGGTACTATTGGGTCCTGTCCGTAGTTTAAGTAGAATGGTGACTGCTGGGTCGTGGCAGATGGCGCGTTGTTGTATGCGAACTCGATGAGTGGCAGCTGCTGCTCCCACGTGTTTGGATCGTCGCACGTGGCTCGAATCAGCTGCTCCATGGTCTGGTTTGTCCGTTCTGTCTGTCCGTCGGTTTCGGGGTGATAGGATGAACTGAATTGAAGTCGCGTGCCGAACTGCTGCCACAGGTTCCGCCAGAAATTACTGGTAAACTTCGTATCCCTGTCGCTGATGATCGACGATGGTATCCCGTGCAGTCGAACGACGGTGGTGATGAAGAGTCGGGCTGTTTCCTCGGCTGTGATTGATTTCCTGCATGCTGCAAAATGTGCCATTTTCGTCAGTCGATCGACGACGACCAGGATCGCGTCATTCCCACTCGCCCGAGCTGGTAACCGCGTGACGAAGTCCATCGTCACCTGCTGCCAAGCACGCTCTGGAGGCGGGATGGGTTGTAATTGTCCCGCCGGTCGCTTCCTGCTTGACTTCATGAGCTGGCAAGTGGGACACGATGCCACGTGTCGTTGCACGTCGGTCAACATTTTTGGCCAGTAGTAGTACCGTTGCAGCTGCTGCCGTGTTTTTTCTACTCCAAAATGTCCCGAGGTAACTCCGTCGTGTGCCTCCTGTAACAGTAGTTCCCGTAATAGTGTGAACCCTGGTACCCAGATGCGGTCGGTTCCAGCTTTTACGTAATAGACTCCCTTGGCTGCTGCAAATTGCTGTGAATTTCCTCCTGTGAAGAATGGGTCTCTTTGATATCCGTGGGTAAATAGTCCTGTCAGTAGCGGGCTGGTCTGGGCGAGTAGTATCGCATGGATCTGGGCAGTGGGGCGGGTCAGTGCGTCAGCGATGCTCGAGGCTCCTTTTTTATATGTGACCGTATAGTGAAAATTCGACTCGAGGAAATCGAGCCACCGAATCTGTCGTGGGTTGAGGTGGGGCTGTGCGCGGAGGTACTGTAGGGATCGATGGTCTGTCCGTACTGTCACGTCTGCGCCGGTCAAGTAGCAGCGCCAAACTTTGAAGGCATGCACGATCGCGACCATTTCGCGGTCGTGTATCGGGTAATTTCGCTCAGGTGGATGTAGCTTGCGTGATTCGTAGGCGATGGGTTGGAGGCCGTTGCCGAAGTCCTGTAACAGTACTGCCCCGATGGCGATGTCACTTGCGTCTGTAACCACTTCGAAGGGGCGGTGTGGGTCAGCGATGCGTAGGACGGGTGGTGAACAGAGAACCTCTTTCAGGGCAGAGAAGGCAGCATGCTCTTTCTCCCCCCACGTAAAAAGGACCCCCTTACGCAGTAAATCAGTGAGCGGGTCTGTTAAGCGCGCCATGTCGGGGACGAACCGACGAACGTAATTAACAAACCCTAAAAAACTCTGTAGTTCCGTGATGTTCGTCGGGGGATGCCACGCTTTTACCGTATCCAGCTTCTTGGGGTCAATCTCAACCCCAGCCTCCGAAATGACGTGACCTAAAAACTCTAGCCTGTCCCGAAAAAACTCGCACTTGGAGCCCTTGGTGAGTAACCGATGTGCCTCTAAAATTTTAAAAACTGCTTCGAGATCTACTAAGTGCTGCTGCTGGTCCCGACTGTAAACGAGGATGTCGTCGAGGTAAACTATCACACATTTATCTAAAAGTGGCCTAAACGCCTCGTTCATGGTCATCTGAAATGTTGCAGGCACGTTGGTCAGCCCGAAAGGCATCACCGTGTACTCGAATGACCCGTACCTAGTCCTACATGCTGTCTTGGCGCAGTCTGATGGTTCGACCCGAATTTGATGGTAACCTCCCCGTAAGTCGATTTTCGAAAATACTCGTGCGGTTCGCAGCTGGTCGATCAGTTCGTCGGCGCGGGGGATGGGGTATCGCGATTTGACGGTTACCCTGTTAAGCGCTCGGTATTCGATGCACATGCGAAACCCTCCGTCTTTTTTCGGTGTGAACAGTATTGGTGCGGCGAACGGTGACGAGCTCGGTCGGATAAACTGCTTCTCTAACAGGTAATCTAACTGCTTCCTTAGCTCGTCGAGCTCGGGCTGTGTCAGTCGAAATTGGTGCTGTACAGTTGGCTGTGCCCCCGGTTCTAACTCGATCCTATGGTCATGCGCCCGCTGAGGTGGCAGCCCTTGCGGTAAGTCATCCGGAAAGATACCCGGGAACCGTTTCAGTAGTGCCTGTAGTTCGGGCGGTACGGCTGCCAACAGCTTCTGCAAATCACTCGGCTGCTCCTCTTTTTCAACTAATGCGATATCCACTGCGTACACGTCAGCTCCAGCAGCGACAGCCCGTTTCATCGTGATGGCGTTTGTCAGATTTATATGACATATTTGCTGTAGGCTATAGTGGGGTAGCACATATGGGGTACAGGGTTTCTAGGGTTGTATTTGTACCCAATCTTTCCTTAGTCATTTCATTCCTGTTTTCCTTGCTTCACATGGTATAGAGCGGGTCCTGCCTTAGGACCGTTTTTTTAGGGCCCACCGAAGCGCGCCCCGAGGCGCGCCCTTTTTTTTTTAGCGACCCCTCGGGTCGCCTTTTCCTTCGCGGCCCCGCTGTCCCTCAGACGCGGCCCCGCCACCTCTCCTGATCGCGGCCCCGCCGCCTGCTTGACGCGGCCCAGCCGCCTCC